GCCCGCTCCCTCAGCACCGACCCTCCGGCAGTGCCCGCTCCCTCAGCGCCGACCCTCCGGCAGTGCCCGCTCCCTCAGCAATGACCCTCCGACAGTGCCCGCTCCCTCAGCACCGACCCTCCGACAGTGCCCGCTCCCTCAGCGCTGACCATCCGACAGTGTGGCACTCCCTCAGCGCTGACCCTCCGACAGTGCGGCGCTCCCTCAGCGCTGACCCTCCAATGGTGTGGCACTCTGCCAGTGCTGACCCTCCAAAAGTGAAGTAGTCCCTCAGTAATGACCTCTGGCAGCCTTGGCACTGACAGCCAGGATTGTGCATTCAGGTCTATTGAGGAGTGTGTTGAAACCTATGGCCTCTGATTCAACAGCAGTGATGGCAGTGCAACATGCTGAGCCCAGACTGTCACCTAGCAAGCATTCGGGCAGCCCAACATTATGCGTGCTGACAAGCTGGTACCTGTAAGGCTGGCAAGGAACTTGTGCAGATGTGCTGAAAAATTGTTCTTAAGACTATCAGGCCACGTTCGGTTTTCCAGGAACTGTGGAGCATAGATGCCCAACATATGCCTGAGCAGACTCTCCAGGTAGCCTCCCCGGATGGTTCCAAACTGAACAATGTGCACAAAGTTCTCTGCAGTAATCTCACCATTCTCCTTACGGACAAAAAACATGAGATGATCTGTGGGCTGTATGGGAAGAAAGGAAGAATATTCAGGTGGTCACAGGGCTGGAAGAGGGAATAGCTGCTTATGATAAGGGAGGGGATGGAAAGGGGAAGGGTGGTTACCTTAATTGTGGTATTTAAGCCAACTGAAGGATACAATAAGGAGAACAGAGAGACATGATTGTCTTTGGTGGTGATGTCAGTGTAGGTAGGCAGGAGAGGTGCAAAGGTGGAGGAAGAGTCCAGAACAAATTGCAAATTCAAGATAGCCCTTTCAGGGAAGATGCTAGGTTATACTTCTTCATTGTAAGGGGAATGGAATTCAGGAACTCTCGCACCATGCACCAAAATTAGCTGGAGATCAACTGAAAGTATTTTTAAGCAACTCACCTTAACATATTTTTGTTGCTCAAGGATATGAAAGGATGCAAAAGCAAGGTGGGTAAATAAAGTTAAGATACAGAAGCACCTTGATGTCAATGGAAAGCAGCAAGTTGGAGGAGCAGAACGGCATCCTGCTATTCCTAATCCATCCAGTTCTGCTGAGTGTACCTGCCTTCATTGGAAACATACCTGTGGTGGGGTGGTAAGGAGCACCTGTAGTCCACTGAACTGATCCATGTGCACAGTCAGAATCCTCAGTCTCGTGTCTTGGATAAAGTCATCCAGAATGTGCTCATGTTCCTCTGTCCACATCTCAGGCTGGAGATCCTCCAGAACCACACGGCTTTTAATGAGGTAATTCTGCGACAGAAAACACATGTGACGTTTGCTTTCAGGGATTTTTAAGACACGTGGGAAACATTAGACCTGGCCCCAGTCTTCTCACATCTAAAGGAACACTAGCTTGGCTCAGTCAGATGGACTTTTCCCACATGTTTCTGGTGCCAGGACCTACACCAAGGCCTAGCACAGGACCAAAGGAATGCAAAAAAGGGGAGGGTGATGGCTTAGTGGTATATTATGACTAGGATGTTAACCCAGAGCTCAGGTGATATTCTGGGGAACTGGGTTCAAATCCCACCATGGCAAATTGTGGAATTTGAATTTAAAAAAATCTGGAATTAAGAGTCTAATGATGACTGTGAAAGTGTTGTCGATTATCAGGAAAAGCCCATCTGGTTCGCTAATATCCTTTAGGAAAGGAAATCTGCCATCCTTACTGGTCTGGCCTACGTGAGTCTCCAGACCCACAGCAATGTGGTTGACTCTTAACTGCCCTCATATACAGGTGGTGGGCATTAACTGGGGATTCACTTGTGCACCTCCTGAAAGGAACTATCCAAAGAATGTGGTAGTGCATTGGCAGTGTCCCTATCAATAAGCACCAAGGTCCATGTTCAATTCCCACTTCAGGATGTGATGGCCATGGAGATATTTCATAAAATATCCAAACAGGTTGATTAAACAAACATCATACAGAGGAACAGAATGAAATTTTAGTTGCTGAATTAGAAGGCACATCCATGTATGGGCTCTAGCTCTGTAGATAAATGTTTATAAAAAAGTATGTAAAGTTTAACACCAGATCCATCCTTTACAACCTGGTGAATGCTGGCCTAACCAATGATGCCGACATTTCATGAATGAACAAACACAGTGTCAGAGGTGACAGTGCCTGAATTAGACTTTACACTGCAGTTCTGTGCCTCTGCACGGTTGACCACGGATGTTCTCATGCAACTATTCACAGGCTCCTGACCAACTTTTCCCACCCAACAAAAGCACCGAAACAAAATGATGATTTGGTCACTTCTCTCCATGCTGTTCATGGGACTCCAGAATAAATTGGCTGCAAACTTTCTTCCACAACAATTCAACACCACTTCAAAAGAAATTCCTAGCTTGGAAAGGTGTTGAAACACCTTAAGATGCATTAAGGTAACAGTGACTCAGCATCACCGCAATTTTAAAATATTCCATTTTCAAAATCTTCCCCTTCAACCCTCCCCCTCTCTGATATGTTTTCAGCCTCTACACCCCCTCCCTATCTCTGTAACCCCCTCCAGCCCCTACATCCCTCCCTAT